TCTGTATATATGTTGGGAAGAGACAGACCACGTAAAACATCATAAGTATATCCTTAGAGTTTCCTGAGTGTCTCGGTTATCGGTTTTATTGAATTGTAGCTTGTCGATCAAGAGGCAGAATGTAGTCAAGGTATAGGCAATTAGGAGAAGTGATGAAAATTTCAGAATTCTACGTTTCTTGAAGGAAAGATTTGCTGGAGATGATTTCCTCTCAGTTACAGAGAACTGCCAAGGAAGGGTTGAGACTCGACCGAAAAGGGATACATATTCTCCTAAAATTTCCCACAATCCGGATGAAATTAGATCAGTGTTAGGGTCGGGGCAGATTTAAAAATATTCTTAGATGTTTCAGAATAATGGGGATATAATGCTTGAATTTTTTTCATTTCGGTCTTTTAGATACTTCGACCAATGCATGACTATTTAATTGCAGGTAATATCGATCACAAATAAGGTATGATTAATCGTTCGAATTCGAATTACGTAATTCGAATTACGAATGGTATTTAAGTAGATATAGAATTCGTATGTACATATTTAAGTATGTAAGTACTCACTCGGCGTAACTCAAATAGGAACTTTCGGTGGCATGATAAGTTTTTGCAGGGTAGAATGGTTTCCCTGTCAAATGGGTTCTTATAAATATAATTTGTTGCGTATATTTTCTACCGTTTAAAATTGTGGAAATTTGAATCGCATTTGAATTTTTGCGGAAGCGAATAAATGCCTCCTATTATATAGAATTATTGTAATATTTTGTATTTAGTTCTCAATTACAACTAATTCAGCGTGAACATTTATGCAATCGCAGATTTTAGAGTATACATATTTAACAAAAACATGTACAGGGTTTACCTGGATATTGGGTTTAAAGATACGTGACACTACTTAGATATTTTCCACTTAAATTTCGGATGGGTAAGCTAACTATGTATTTGCAAATTACTAAGAAGGTAAGAATTTGAAATAATTTGTTGAAGATAAATATTTAGTAAATACTTTTTTCTGGAAATTTTAAAATACACAATCCTCATAAAAATCATCTCATAATGTTACATTCTGGTAAAATCAGATGTGATAATTATTTCATAAATTTGCCATATCTCATACCAAATTAAATTTTTTGTTTGAGTATTTTTAAACATTTGGTATTTAAAAAATCAAAATTTTACAAAAAGTTGTGTTGAATGGGAATCATTAGCTTTAGTCAACCCTTCGAATGGATGATTTGTTACGAACTTTTTCGTATGCATGCGAATAACTACATTTGTAATAATGCGAATAAAATAAATCGCGTATACAACAAAGAGACGATTTACCAAATTGCTTACCAAATTTGATTCGTCATTCAAATAGGCAAACCTTTCCGAAAGGGTATACAGATTTAATAATTTTAAAAGCGAAAAATTTATTATTTCTTTATGCTAAATCAGAATTTTTTATTTTGGAGAGGGCTATCTTGAGGCGTTCTATAGATACCCACTGACCCACGGATGAGCAAGCAAAACGATTCGCAACTTATTTAAACCGATTAGGAATTATAGTCGGAATAAAAAGAGAATCTATGTATGTAACTATCGATTTTTTTACAGTTTTGAAAATAATACTAAAGCTCGATTTATAAATTGATAATCAAAAGTAACAGTACGTTCATAGGTTATGCAATGCAAAAATCACTATATTCTAAATAGAATGCCCCTCCCCCCCTTAGCAAGTGTCACATAGGTACGACATCATTGGACCCTGGGTCCCCCCCCTTGTCGCGTCAAAAAATGTGTTAGTGGACCCGAGATTGTGATTCTTTCCTCGTTTAAAAGAGTTCGCCGCACTTCACAATAAATTGTACTCATGTACAAACCGACTAAAATGCTAGCAACAAGTTCATCGTGTAATACAAAATATTCCACACAATGGCTAACATCAACGATTTACTCGCGGTCCCAAAAGGCCCAACTCTAATCCCAACCTTATTCAACGCGTTACACAGCCGTATTTCATATTTCGAAAAACATCTCCCTTTCAAACAACCTAGAAATTGGTTAGATTTTTCGAAAACCTGCGTCGCCTGTGGCAAAATCGTCACCACAATTACAAACCCAACCAAGCTAGTAACCGGAAATAGCATATACAGGGCTAAGGGAATTTTTCCTGGCAGCCTGATGGTTAAATAACTGACTAAGATTATGATACTCATGCCAAACAAGATTAGTGGCGGGACAGTAAAGTAACAAAAGTTTTGGTTGTATGTAACATTCCAAAGCTGCAATTCCTTATATACTTTGATTACTTTGAGTGGACTGGTCGTCCAATTTTCAAGGGTGTTTCTACACCGCGCCAATATTTGCATTGTTGCACCCAATACGATTGCTAGACAACCTACGGATTTTATTAGTTCTAACGATACGTGAGTTAAACTACCAAGCCTTACCGCTGTTAAGAGACATTTGAAATTGGACATTTTGGAATCATGAAGCTGACTGAGGATATAAAGCGGATCCACGTCGCACCAGACGACCGCAGGAATGAGTACGAATGGGATGAATGGAGAGATCTTTGTAAAGTGAAGAAGACCAAATTCCATCATTTTGTTGACTGGAGCGTAGTGTTGGACTCTTCCTAGAGCTACAGATTAATGAAAAATGCTACTTTACTTTTTTTGTTTTTTAAACTAAATGTCTTTAGCGATATCATGCCCAAATTTATTTTTGAAGGATATTCTATGATTCTATGATTATTATTGAAATATTCTTTCCAACCATCGTCTTTGGATGGAAGTGTTGGCTTTTTAAAAGTCGAACGAAAGTCGAGTCGAAATAAGTATTTACTTATGAAAAGCCTTCGACATAAACAGGTACATACCACATTAATTACCTGATATTGCTGGATAAAATTGTGTAATCTGATTAATTATCGGAAATAGTTGCTCCCCATGAAAAGCAGCCAAAAAACTCATCGGAATAAAACCAGGGAAGAGACAGACGACGTAAAACATCATGCATGTCCGTACAGTGTCCAGAGTGTCCTGACGATTTGTAGTGTTAATCAGCATCTTATGGATTAAGAGATTGAATGTAGTCAAGGTATAAGCGATCATGAGAAGTGATGAACATTTCAGAATTCCTCGTTTCCACATGGAAAGTTTTACTACAGATAACTTCCTCTCGGTTAACGAGAAATCACAAGGAACAATTGAAACTCGTCCGAAAATGGACACATACTCGCCCAAAATTTCCCACAATTTGGGTGAAAGTAGATCAGTTTCAGAGGGTGGAAAGGATTTAAATATATTTTTAGTTGCTACAGAATAAATGAAAATGTAACACTTGCATAGGTTTCATTTTGGTCAGGATATTGAAATTATTAGACACTTTTTAGAGGAATGGTGAGCAAGTGAAAGGAGGCATCGAGAACAAGTTTGACGATCAGTAGGTTCAGAAGGTAAGGTTCGAATATACAATTTTTGATTGATATCAACCCAGGATTCGATTTTAAACCGTGTTATTCACAATGGGAACTAATTATGTACACGTCGCGGTAGGAAACCTTCCGTAATCGCTTGCTTCCATCTAATATAAATACCACTTTGGGAAATCCGTTATCCTAATATTTTTTATTGTGAAATGGGTTTTTACGTAAATATGTATGTATGAATGTATGAATGTATTTGAACGGGTCAAATATGTAATATTACCATGTTAAGCATGAATCGTCAAGATAGTTACAGCATAATTATAATCTGTACGTAGCCTAATATTGGTCAACATGTGCTTATTTGAATTAAAAAAAAATAGAACTAAATGTCTGCAATTATATAGAATTATGATAATACGTATATGTACATACCTGTAGTTATAAATTTCTACTAAATCGATGTGAACATTTAGCTTCATATTTAACAAAAAAATGGTCGGAGCCGGCCAAGATATGTGAAATTCATTTGGAGTTAAAGTATACAGGATTGAATACTAGGTTATGTAGATTAAGGTAAGTGCGCAAAAATATTGAGAAAAGCCACCCTAGGAATCGAACCTAAGATCTCCCGATATCCGATAACTATCTTGCCGATAGACAACATACGTCCTATATCTTCAAATATGCCACTACCTTTACTCAACCCAATAAGTCCTATTCACGTAATATCTTATTTCCAACTCCGTAAAATGTAACATTTTAGCTTGGATTATAAATATATCAAGAGGAACAAAACAAGGCTTCGCTTACGTAAATACATATTTGAATTTGAGCTCCCATTTTCCCAATTTTGACAAAAATATTTTGGCACATTCCAACCATCGCTCAAATTGCTTCAAGAAACCCTGCTTTTATTGAGTTGGACCACATAATCCCAAATTCCAACGAATTCGGAGGGCTACACTTCACACCATCGCATTGTTAGATGGGTTCATTTCATTTTTCAACGTTATCGAACCTGTAGACATACATATGTACATATTAGACATAAAATCAAGTTTAATTTGATAACATACAGACGTGCAGAATGTATGTGTACATATGTCAGCGGCTGCATGAGTATTAATATCACACCAGCACCGGAAGTGAATTCGGTTGAATGTGTGGCAATGACATTGACATCCAAAAACCATACCCAAACCACCAACTCAGAGATGGGAGTAGAATATGTAAATACATAAATTTCACCGCAGTCGAAGACAACCAAATTGGAAAAAAATTAAAAAAACAAGCAATCGTTAATAAAACCACAATATTGTATTTAAGAAAGGTATGTATCTTGTTTGTATGTATGCATTCGGCTTACGCCGGAAAAACCTAGTTATGGAATGACGGGATTACTTTGAGGAATAATTTTACATTCTTATATTATGAATTTCACGACACGACAATAGATTTTCTTGCATTGTATGTTTACGCAAATTAATTCGCCAGTTTTGGGAAGTTACATATATATTTAGGATCTATAAGATTGTGTACCTACCTATACGTACCCAGATACGTAGATTGGAATATTCATCTGCTAGAAAATGACATCGCAACACCCTTTATTTATTTTAAGATTTGGGCTCAGTTACATGGTTAGTTGTACCAATAAACCATTATATAATCAGATGTGGAATTAATTTTATTTATTTCATTTATTTTATTTTAATTTAATTTAAGTTGTAATTTATTTATTTATTTTTGTAAATTAATGCAGGTATTTTCCTTATCTTTTCTTCTCCTAACCATTCAGGATTATCTCTCTCTGCGGCAATCATCCGGAAGGAATTGCCAGTTTGTGGATAAAGCAGGTGGGTACATATATAATAACAGTTTTAGTTCTTCCTCAAAGTTGCCGGTGTGATTTTTTCGTTATTTTAATTTATTTCCGGTTAATCTCATAAACCAAAGCAGTTACCGAATTGCTCGCTCAACTGAAAATAGATGCCGCTCTATTCTCTGGAAACTTCCTTGGAAGCATTATTATTCTTGTGTCTGCGAAATTGGTTAGTTTATTTTATTTTTCACTTTTAATTCCTAGCTTAGAAAATTAATTACGACTATTTGCATTTGTAATATATGCAACATTTGTATTAATTTTTGTATTCAAGAAAAGGGAAAAGGCAACATTCTACTCGGTCTGCGTTTGCCTCCTGTTGGCGACAGGGACCAAGGCGAGCTTCCAATTCCACACGATTCCGAAACGAATCGTAATCTCCAATTCCACCAGCGACACGGCTTTCGATACGAATAGTTGGCTACTCCAAATTATATCCAACCCTCCCGCCCTCCTGGGCACAAATTTGGTGATCTGGGTAATGTGGATGGCCAATTTCTTCTCGTTTGTCTGCTTTTGTGGGGAGAAAAACATTTTGTGCATTGGCACCACCAAAACGAACACCAACGCCAAGGGGACAGTCTGCCTTGTTGCTAAAGTTCATAAAGGGCTGCTCGCCCAAGGCATCATTTACGCTGGGGTGGGTACTTATTTTTGCTGTGTATTAGCTGAATTTGAAATTTGTACGGAACCATGTGCTTTTCAAGTAATTGGGGGCCATTTATCGTACACAGATGCTCTTATTTTTTGCGGGAGAAAGCATGAACCAACTCATCGATAGGAGTGATCTGTGGAGTAATTTGTGGGAAAAATGTACGTACAGTTTTTTACCCTCCTTAAATATTAATTTTGACATTAATTTTTCGCAAAATTGTTCTCACTATCTATGAATCTTCAGATCCAATTTACTTCACGTGTTTAGTATCCCTGCCAACTCTGCTGGCAATACTGGCCTGTAATAGGATTGCCACTTGCATTCAATTGTTGAAAAAGTCATCAAAAAAAGTAGGTTCCTTCGGCCTTATATGAAAAAATACTTATTAAAAAAGTTGATTTTTGACCTTATAAACATGTATTAATTTGGGGTAAATTTAGGGCAACGATGAAAAACACCTCCACCGACTTTGAAACATTAATGTGTGGGCGTTCACAGCTCAAGGAGTGGTTCAAACCCAGCTGAGGATAGAAAGTCCCCAAATAATGGAGTCGAGTAGGTTTGAATCCACCGCCAAAACCTTGTTTCTCCGCCATATGCTCCTCATGTTCATCATACAGTCCACAATTTCTCACGTGTATATCCTGTACTTGAAAAATAATTCTTACGTGGATGGGTTGGAGGTCTTTCCACCTTCGGTGGCTATACGGAGAATATCTAGTGAATGTTTAAAAAGTGGGTGATCTGGACGATAAATAATTATGAGTTTTAAAATTCGCAAAAATTATGAAAAAGTCATAATTTTTTTGCACCAATTTTAATTTTAATCATTTCGTTTCAGTCGACAGTTCGAAACCAGTTGGGACTGGCTATTCTGCCACCGTCTTTAAGGGATTGCTCACAACAAAGCGCTTCCTTAAAACCGTTCAAGTTGTCCCCGTTGGTGTGAAAGTGTTTAACGACACTTCCCCCGATATGGCACGCCACCTAGTGGATGAGTTTAGCAACATGTCTAGACTCATGGGGAACGGAATGAGACATAAACATCTTATCCATTTCTACGGAGTTTATCTCTCGCCAAGTTACGAGGATAGGGGTATGTCGGTTATAAATAACGATATGGAGACGGGTAATTTAAATTTAGTGTAAGTTTTTTGAAACTCAATTTTAGAAAGAACTACACCGTTATCAGAATTGGAAAACGGAAAAGGGTTAATGAAGAGAAGGAGCTTCAGCATCGTTATGGAGTTCTGCCCAAGAGGAAGTTTGGAATCGCATTTAGAGTTGTTAAAGTCGAAGTTGTATCCGCCGCTGCAGATTCAATCGCTGTCCAGCAGGGAATCGAAATCGAATATCTCTGACCTTTCGGTAGAGGAATGTGTTCAACAGTTCTACACGTGGGCAAAACAGATTTCGGCTGGGATGGTCTTTTTAGCAAGCGACGGGGTGGGGATTATTAATAAATCGACTTTTAAATTGAATTTTCAAATTTTATGGCGGGATTCCGTGATTTAATCCTAAATTTTATTTCGTATCTCGAGCAGATCGTACATGGCGATCTAGCGTCAAGAAATATCCTCCTAGACTACCAGCTGACTGCAAAAATCTCCGACTTTGGAATGTCAAAACTTCTCCAACAAGGAAGTTACAAAGCGTATGCGAGTGATACTAACCAGGTTTTTGTTCACAAACCATCAAAATGGGGAACATTTATTCGATCAACTCATTTCTTGGCTTAACAAAGGCATCTCCATGGAGGTCCATGGCTCCAGAAAGTTTGGATCGGTATAAATTCACGGTGAAAACAGACGTGTGGTCGTATGGGGTGCTTCTCTGGGAGATTTGGTCGTTTGGGCAGCGACCCTGGGCAGAACTGAGTTGGACATCGGATTTCATTGTTGAACTTCGAGACGGTGGGATGAGGTTGGGCAAACCTCCCCTACCAGCACAACCTGTGCGGTTCCGGTACATGTTGCCAGTGCCGATTTTGTGCCGATGTGCCCCATTTCTCGGTACCGATTGTGTAACGATTTCGTGCTGGCACAGGGAAATCGGTACCTTACCGGCACAGTTTTGGTACAGGTGGAACCGTACATATGTACCGATACCATTTTTGTACAGTTTTGCCGGAACAGTCCCGGTACCCAAAATTTGTAGCTAAACTGTGCCGGCAAGGTACCGATTTCCCTGTACCAGCACGAAATCGTTACACAATCGGTACCGAGAAATGGGGCACATCGGTACAAAATCTGCACTGGCAATGTGCTAGTAGGGTCCGCTGGCGACAGAACAGTTGTAAGGAAACCATTTATCTATTTATTTATTTCTAGAATATCTACGTCATTAAATATGGATTGGCGGGCGGGTGTGGTTATATAGTTATCAACAGGTCCTACTAAAATGCTGGGAGCTGGATCCTGGAGACAGGCCAGAATTTCGCGAAATCCATTCTTTGCTTAATCAGACGGAGTAACGAATTGACGACAGGATCCTTCCTGTGAAGTCTGGAACACATTGTTAGATACGTTGATACTGACATAAATATGTATAATTACTTGAGTTTGTCATTCACAATTACTAATTACTTAATTTTGGATGTCTGACGAGAGAAAGCAATTACTTCCGTCAAAAGTAATTAATTACTTACATAATTACAAATTAATTACATTTTTATATAGCCATGAAGTTATAATGTTTGAAGTATGGTATCGTCAGGCAGGTATCAAGTTCCCGATATGAATGTTGCTACCACATGGTCGTCATGGTCTTAAAATTATATCGGTCGGCCGGTAAATTTTTACCGATCAGTATAAAGTTGCTACCGATATGGTAAAACTTTAATTTCGAGCTATTCCTACACTGCATTACATACTTACCAGTACCACTTCACAGTCATAGTCACATACATATGAATGCAGTTTGATATTCTTTTAATACTCTATTTCTCAGAGCAAAATTTACGCTGCGTAAATGTATGTACTAAAGAACTGCCTAATCCAAAGTATTAACAGAAAATGAATAATTGACACCGGGATAATAATTGGCTATAATCTTCACGATCGTAAGAAAATTAGTATTAAATGCCTGCTATTATCTAAAATTATACTAATGGCCTGTATTTGTAAGTTTTTAGTGATTCGATATGAACATTTAACCACCTAGTTAGACAAACATAAATATGTCATACCAAACAAATAAGCGAACTTTGCAAGTTTATCACTAAGAAAATTAATCCGATGATATTTATAAGACTAAACTAAATAAGACACTGCAAATATTATGCAGTACTCCAGGTTTGAACATTTTTGATGTCTATAACAGTTCCGTACACTTCATAGGAATTTTTTTTCGTTTTCAGTTTACATTTATGTACCCACTAAAATGCTATCAATAGGTTAATCGTGTAATACACAATATTCCATGCAATGGCTAACATCAACGACTTACTCGCAGTCCCGAAAGGACCAATTCTAATTCCAACCTTATTCAATGAGTAAAGCAATCTTCTTTCATATTTCAAGAAACATTTCCCTGTCAAACACCCGAGAAATATTTCGGATTTTTCAAAGACCTGCGTCGCCTGGGGTACAATCGTCATCACAAATACTAACCCAGTCAGGCTAGTAGCCGGAAATATTACATACAGCATTAAGGGGACCTTTCTTGGGAGTCTGATTGTTAAATAGTTCGCTAAAGTTATGATACTCATGCCAAACAAAATTAGGTGCGGGACAACTGAATAACACAAATTTTGGTTGTAGATAATATTCCAAAGCTGCAATTCTTTAAACACTTTGATCACTTTGACTTGTCCGGTCCAAACATTATCGAGGGCTTTTCTACACCGCGCCATTATTTGAATTGATGCAGCTAACAAGATTGCCGCCAAGGTTGCCAGAAGACCAAAGGATTTCAGTAGTTCGCACGACACAGCAGTTAAAGTACTAACTCTGAACGCTATTAGGAGAAATCTGAAAGGGGACAGCTTCGAAGTTTGAAGCAGGCTTGGGACATAGAGTGGATCTACGTCGGACCAGACGACGAAAGGAATGAGTGCGAATGGGATAAATGGAGATATCTTTATGAAGTTGAGAAGACCAAATTCCATGATTTTGTTCACCGGGGCGTAGTGTCGAATTCTTCCCAATGCTGCATAATTAAAGAAACAGACTAAATCGTATTTGATAGATATCGATGAAGGAATTTCTACCCACAAAAAAAAACTCTACAAAATATAAGCTTTCAAGCTAGGTGGGAATTCAGCTTGATAGGATCAATCAATCTACGGTTTTTAAATTCCAAAGTAACGAAATAAAGCACTAATTTAAGAATCGATGATTCATTTCATCAAAACAGTTTGGCAAAATCAACAAATTAAGGTTTTATGAGGCTAGAAATGAGTAGATATTTGCTTAATTTCATGATTTTGGCCGCGAAACATCAGGTCCAAAGTTAATTCTTCTCAACATATAAACTATACTTATAACCTCATAACTCTCTACATATATTTAGAAAAAACATTTCACCTCAATTTCAGAGTCACTAAAATGTAAATATTGGTAGAAAACTTTAATAAAAATAATTTTAATCACTTGCCTGACATTGCTGGTTGAAACTGTGTAATCGGGTTGATTATTGAACAAATTTGTCCGCCACGAAAAGAGATTATAAAACTAATCGGTATGAGGGCCGGAAAAAGACAGATGACGTATAACATCATGAATGTCCTTATAGTGTCCTTAGTGTCCTGATTATTTGTTACGCAGAATAGTACTTTATGCATCAAGATGATGAAGGTGGTAAAGGTGTAACCGATCATTAGAAATGATGAGAATTTGAGAATTCCACGTTTCCTGAAGGACGTTTTTGCTATGCACAATTTCCTCTCTGTCACCGAGAAATCCCAAGGAAGGGTTGCGACTCGTCCGAAAAGTGATACATATTCTCCGAAAATTTCCCACAATCCGGGTGAAATTAGATCAGTTTCCGAGTGTGAGTAAGAATTAAATAAATTCTTAGTTGCTACCGAATAATGGAAATATAATACTTGCCAGTGTTTCATGTTAGTCTGAAGTTGAAGTTTTGTAGATATGTACGAGGAGCAATGTAGGGTTGATTGTAGTTAACATCAGTGATTGGCAGTCCGTTAGAAATGTTACGAATCGTAGTAAGATTTACAATTTTAGGTTGTAATAAATATATAACTTGATGTTTGCAATTTCTAAATGATGCAGACCTAGGATTCTATTTAAAATTTACAAATTACCCATTGTCAATCGTTGGAAAAATTCAATTCTCATGACATTCTTCTAAAACTCAAAACATGGAAAATTCAGTAGTATAATCAAGTGCCAGCTTCGGGAAAGCCTTTGGTGAGACCTTTGACTACAGGGTCATTAATGAGCCGTTCTCCAACATTTTATAAAAATACATATCAGAAATGTTCAATGATTATGTGTACCAAATTTGGAAACTCGATCGAACTCGGAAATAATTCCAGTTAAGGTAGCCTCAAACTGGTTTTTATAAGCCTGATGACCCCTGTACCAAACTTGACAAGGAATGATTTTTAGTAACTGGTTCGTATGCAAGTAGCTTTGAAAAATGTAAATAATTAAAAGAAATTATTGTACATGACGAAGAGACGATTTGGCAAATTACTTACAAAATTTGACTCATTATTCAAGCATGAAATTTTGCAGAAAAGTGGATAAATAAGAGTGTAAATTTGATGTGCTTATTTACATATATATATATGCTAAATAACATTTTGTCCAATTGCTCCAAATTAGCTGTGCACGACATTCATAAGCATCATACATACGCAGTTATATTTACTGTAATTTGTCCATAAGGACAGCTATAAATACATTTCGAACCTGTCCTGATGGACCTTCTGTAATTAGTACAAAATATCCACGGGTTTAAAATAGACCACCTACTTCTTATATTTGGAAACAAGTAGGAGTTTAGCACTAATCCGAAGAGACAGGTAAAATACCTAAGTGTACATTGAAATTAACACCTGTAGAAGAACAAGGAATTGCTCCGCATACCCGATAACAAAATATTTAATTTTCGAATCAAACCATGTATTGAAAAATGATAATTTTGTAATTATTTGGTTCGTATTTAATATGGGAAATGTGGCACACGTTTTTTTTAGAATACCACTGTATTTCAAAAAATGCCTTAAAATAGCAAATACACAATTGAATAAATTCGGAATAAAATTAAAAACTCGATTTCTACAACACATTCATTTCTTTCTTAGGAGGAGAGACCCTCTACATGCCCCTCTCAGATCTCGATGCCCTTTGGATATTTTATACCCCTAGACGAGTGTAGGATAACCTTAGAGTGGTTTGATGCCATGGCCACAGTTACGCCCGCCACACCCACTCTAAGGTGCCAAAAACACGAAAAAAGCATTGTTTTCATGTGCTTTAAATGTCACCAAAAATCCAATTTTGCTCGGATTTTGACGAAAGTTACATTTTTGTGATCCCAGATACCTGTGTGATCATATCCAGTAGATATCTCAACTTTTTTGAAATTTTGAATTTTTTCGAATAATTCATCAGCAGTGGAATGCCCAAAAATTTCGAAAATTTCAAAAAAGTTAAGATTGCTACTGGATATGATCACACAAGTATCTGGGATCACAAAAATGTAACTTTCATCAAAATCCGAGCAAAATTGGAGTTTTGGCGGATTTTTTAAGTTGGCAATTTTTGTCGTTTTTATCCCTTTGAGTGGGTGTGGCGGGCGCAAATGTGGCCATGGCATCAAACCACTTTAGGGTTATCATACATTCGCCTAGGGCTACTACATATGCAAAGGACATCAAGATCTGAGAGGGGCATGTAGAGGGGCTCTCCTCCTTAGTCTTCAGATGTAAATAGGTAACTACCATTTATTTAAATATGTATGCAAATATAACGACTTAACCTTATCATCTAAAACGTCAACAACAAATTCATATGTTTCACAAAGATATTTGCATCTGAATAGAAAAACAGACCTAAATTTTACACTTTCCGAATTTACTCAGCATTTTCTCCTTCTTCGTATACAAACATCTCTGCAAGACATCCCAAAATCATCCTCTTCCATTGAATGCGACTATGGTTTGATCATTTAAATATCTAACAGACTTCCCGCCATGAGCTTTGCATCTAAGAAAAAGTCTCCTACATATTTAAATGATCAGACCATACTTTTAATCCATTGTCATTCACAATTTTCTTTTGGTTATTTACCCAACGTCTAAAACGGTTTCATCCTGAAAAATTGTTGTTGCAAACATACTAAAACGCTATCAATAAGTTAATCGTATAATACACAATATTCCATACAATCCCTAGCATCCAAGAATCACTCGCAGTTCCGAATTGTCCAATTTTAATTCCAACCTTATTCAACGAACAGAACAATTTTCTCTCATACTTTTATTAACATTTACCTTTTAAACACCCTAGAAATATTTTAGATTTTTCGAAAACCTGCGTCGCCTGTGGTAGGATTGTCCCCACAATTACAAACCCAATCAAACTAGTTCCTGGAAATAGGAGATACAGCGCCAACGGGACCCTTCGTGGCAGCCTGATGGTCAAATAGTTGGCCAAAATAATGATACTCATACCAAAAAAAATTAGTGGTGGTACAACAAAATAACAACAGTTTTGGTTGCACATGACATTCCAACGCTGCAATTCTTTATAAACTTTCATTACTTGGATTGGACTGGTGGACAAATTTTCAACAACTTTTCTACACCGCGCCATTATTTGCATTGTTGAACCCAGTAGGATTGGCGCCAGGATTGCTAGACCACAAAGGGACTTGAGTAGTTCGCACGATACTAGAGTTATAATACCAAGTCTGAGCACCATTAAGAGGAATCTTAAGGTGGACATCTTCGAATTGTGGGACAGACTAAGAAAGTAAAGCGGTCCTACGTCGGACCAGGCGATGACTGGAAGAAGTAAGATTGGGAGGAATGAACAGATCTTTATGAAGTTGAGAAGACCAGTTTCCAGGATTTTGTTGACTGGAGCATAGTGTTGTGTTCTTCCTAAAGCTGCAAATTAATGAAAAGGTTTACTGTATTTGATTAGTATTTTTAAGGTCTCAAATTTGTACCAAAATTAACGAATAAAAATTTATAATTATTTCATTATTTAACCTCAAAAATATTTAACTTGCATTACCCATAGCGATCTTATATTCGAATTTATTATTTACTTTAGAATATTTTTCCGCAATTGAAATTTACTTTCGAAATCTTGTACATACACATACATAACTGTAGTTACCTGATATTGCTGGTTGCAATTGTGTAATCTGATTGATTATTGGGCATATATGTTCCCCATGAAACGCGATTATGAAACTCATCGGTATAAAGGTTGGAAACAGACAGACGACATAAAACATCATGAATGTCCGTAAAGTGTCCCGAGGGTCCTGACGATTTGTTATGTTCAATAGCAACTTATAAACCAAGAGGTTGAATGTAGCCAACGTATAAGCGATCAAGAGAAGTGATGACAATTTCAAAATTCCACGCTTGCACAAGGTAAGCTTTACCAAGGATAATTTCCTCTCGGCTACCGAGAAATTCCAAGGCAGGATTGCAACCCGTCCGAAACTGGAAACATACTCGCCCAAGATTTCCCATAATCTGGGTGAAAGTAGATCAGCTTCAGAGTGTGGAAAAGATTGGAATGTATTCTTAGTTGACACAAAAAAATCTAACAACCTCGAGGGTTTCATATTGAATTTATTACAAGCTTTTTAGTTCAATGCAGCACTAGCTGTAGGTAGCGTCGAGAATATTTACAGTATCCCGGGAGTTTGACGAGGCATAGATTTATAAGTTTATGCACGTTGGAACCTGCCATTTTTGAAAAATTTAAAACCCATGAATAGATTTTAAACTGAGGTATTCCCCAATAGCACTAGGAAATAATTATGTACCCGTGGCAGTGGGAAATGTTCTACATACTCTAATCGCTTCCTACTAAATATATATATCACTTTGGGAAACGAAAATACCATATCATGACGTCTTTGTACAGTAAAATGAGTCCCCTCAAATGAGTGCTTACATATGTACGTATATATGTACATATGCATGGTAACAGGGTCAAATATGTATGTATCTAATGTTACCATGTTAAGCATGAATTTAAAAAATGGTAAAATACTTAAATTCTAAGCAGAATTGTAATAAATGTATAAGTTGGTAGTCCAATATTGGTCAAAATGTGCATATTCGAAGTAAAAATAGTTAGCATTAAAAAGTTGGAATTAAACGACTGCTATTATGTAGAATTATGCTAATGCGTACCAGTATTTATTTGTAAATTTTCAGTAATGTACATATACTGCTGTAGTTTAGAATTGAACGTGTTATTCTGCCCTAAAGGTAATAAGGGAAATTTTGTAATCGTAGTATGTATGTATTGTATGTATTCAGTTTATTCAGAATTATTCCATTACCTTTAAATACTTACACTTTAAATACTTTAAATACTTAGTACATGAAAGCAATATTTGTCATAAATGTATAGCCTACATAAATCA